CGCAGACTTGCAACTCTGTCAATCCCGCTGGTCGCTTGCAAGTCCCTTCAAACGTTCTGACGAACACTCGGGACAGATCTTCCCAAGTGTAAATGCTGCTAGGAGGTAATTGAGTCAACCATGCCCTGGCAGAACCTTCCAACATGAGGGGCAAATGCTTCATGGCCACCTCGTCGTTCCCACCACCGATCTGAACTGCCACTCGGTAGTCTTCAAGCCAAGTTTCAGGCTTAGACTCACCAGTGAACTTGCTGACTCCTGTTGCCAACCTGAAATTGGGGGGGGGGGATAACTGCGGCTCTGATAGCTCTGCTGAAACATTCAGGACCAGAAACATGTACTCGACTGCTCGTGGGCACATCTCTGTCGAGTGCGCCTCGATGGGCTCTGTTCCGGTCGACCAACCCTTGCACGATAATGGATCGCGCGTCGAAGCCTGGCTCTCTGGGGTCAACTGGAACCCTACGCCCTGTACTGTACTGACGCCTATCATCTGGCTGCCGAGGAGCGTAAGACCCACCCCTCGGAGGGGAATAGGGCACTCGACGCCTATCATCTCGGTCGAGTCTGTCGCCATATTGATCTCGCCGATTCTCACGCCCTTCGCGCCGCGGAGGCGATCTGGGGCTGTGAGCCGACTGAACCGTATTCACAGTGACAGATCGACTGTGAATTCTGTTGCGCGACTGAGACACGGCTGAATTCTGATCTCCTGCTGCCCGGAGCAGATCCCTGATCTGCAGCAAACCTCTGCCAGCTTCTGACTGCGAAGGCTGAATGGACTCTGCTATACGGGTCGCAGCTGCTAAATTCTGAATTGGGGTTCGATATACCTGAGTCGGCGGGAAGAGTTGACGTCGACTGGTGTCGGGAACTCGTTGCCGCGCGCGCTCGTCGAGTGCTCGCTGAAGGTTCTCCAGTCGAGTGCGCTCGGCCAAATTGGCCAGACGCGCCTCCTCCAAGGCACGAGCCTCGGGGGTTTCTCCTGCGATGGGAATACGCAGGGGATCCTTGTTCCTGCGGCGAAGCTCTTCTCTTTGCAGAGAGTCGAGTGGCTCGGGCTGGTACTCTTCGTAGCCTCGTGCAGGGTCGCCGCCGTCGCCTGCTCCACCACCACGGGCGAAGCCAGGAGGACTGTGGGGTCCGTCGACCATCAAGATTTCCGCCGTTGGATCACTGCTTCCGCACTCGGATGCAGTCTCTCCGGAGCCAGTCGACTGATCGAACAAGCCGTAGAGAGATTCGTTGGGCTCGATTGCCGCAACTTGTGTAGTGGCCGACTGGCGAGCCACCGCGTGACTCACCCATCGCTGAAGCCTCGACCGGCCTGAGCGCTTGCGCTGGCGGGAGACCGGGAGGGTGGAAGATGGAGGAGCCGACCGATACTGGGTCGATGGTTGCCGCAGCAGAACGCCGCGGACACATGCGCGAAAATGCGTCGCACCGCGGACGGGGAGCGCATCTACGTCGAGTGGAGCCTCCTGGAGCCATGCGGAGTCGTCGGCGATGAAGGTGAGAGTGCCGAGACGGATCTCTTGACCCTCGACCAAAACTCCAGCAGACACCATGATGAAAGTACTCAGAAGAATCGCAACTTCTCCACAAAATCGCTAAAACACCTGCCCCACGGTGGGCGCCAACTGTCGTAGTTCTAAGCCTGACAGTAGAGTGGGGGGTAGGTATGGAGAGGCAAGGTCCTAGCTATGGAGAGGTTGTAAGCACAAAGGATGTACGAGTTCAGGCCCTTCTCGGAAGAAGTAACAGCCCTACGTCTCGGAGCCTGGAGGCGGTCGAGTGGATTATGAATGTATGGATTACAAGGTGCCGAACCCTTCTGCCTGTGGAGGGGGGTGGCTTATATAGAGTGCGCCAGGACCCCAGCCAGCCCACGTAGGAGAGGGTTTAAGGTGAGTTAAGTCTGGGGCGTTACTGGTAACGCCCCACATAAAGTGCCTTTACTATCATAAAGTCTACTTGATTACAGGCCGCTGCGGTGCAGAGTGCCTCTTGACCTCCTGGTGGTCGAGTGAGTCTTCGTGGTCGAGTCCTTCAGGCCAGTCGAGTGAATCCTCGTTGGTCGACTGGAAGGCGACCTCTTCTAAGGATGTCTTAGGGTAAGTTACTTGGAACAGGTCCATGACCCTACCCTAGGTACATAACCCCATCACATTCTACGTTTGCGAGAACATTCGCATGATGACGTGCGAAAGGAGCAGATCTGATAGACAGGACTGGGTACGTTTGTCAGAACACTATTCACACCATTATCGATATCTAGTCACACAACTAACACACATGCATATTGATCTCCTTCTTAACAGTTCAGAGAGGTGCGAGATAAGCTCCTACCATCGGACCGCATACTAGCACTTCAAGAGGAAATAGCCGGATTTTTGCTCGACCAGGTCATAAATCCCAAAGGAGAATACTATTACCCGCTACCGCCCCATGAACCACTTGTCATCGTGCTCCGGAGGCACCAAAGGCAACATATATAGGAAAAATTATATATGTATATACATGTGTATGCGTGAATAATTAATGGTGTTGGTTGTGAGACATTCGATGATTGAACGCTATCTCCTATTACCAATAATTAATGGTGTTGGTTGTGAGACATTCTTCACATGTGTTTTAGACCATATCATATTGGTAATAGGAGATAGCATTCAATGACCATTTAGTTGTTTTAGCAAGTATTTTTTTGGCTGTGACTCTATTTCACATGGACAAAAATACGTATTTAGTATAGCTATACAGATCTCATGGCGGTGCTCTGTTTATGTACAGAGTGTAGATCTAACAGTAGTGGTCTATTCATTTCTAAAGGGTACACTAAATCAGCGACAAAATGTGTTGCCCTTTTTTAGAATTTGGTGAGCCCTCGATTTTTCTTGTGTATTGTGCTTTTATTATATGGTAAATATTTTTTTTCGATAAATGACATTTCCATTCAATCGATATATCAGGATGCACACAGCCAAAATGTCCAACAAGACCAGAAAGAAAAATAAAATTGTTTTGCACCAAAAGTAAAAAAGATCGGCCTAAGGTGGGGTAGATCATATCCATAGATTACGCCACCCATGATGGGAGAAAATTTCCGTTGCCGTATAGTCTAGCCGGGTAGGCATCATCGTAAAAAGGTCCATGTCCTTCGCAGGATAGACAAAGTACCGAAGTACGAAGCTATCGCATACATGCATAGATAACCTGCACAAGAGACTAAACCCATTTTTTTTGCGTGTTAAAAACCACATCTCATTCTTGTAAGCTACATAGCCTGACATAAGGCTGCTGCTCACACAAGAATGGATGAACAAAATTATTTGTTAATACCACGCAACCAATTGTCAAACATATTACGCACACTGCAAGGGGGTTAAAATTTGAAGCTTCTTGAACAATGGACCACACTGCACGAGCAACTTTACACTAAAAAAATAGGTGTTTAATAGACTCGTCGTGTTGGCAAAAGACACATGTCTTGCTACCTTGTCAGTTGCGCGTGCCGGGTTATCTCTAGTCAAGATCGTATCTCTGTTTAAAAACAAGAGGAATATCTTCATTCAAAAAGTATTGGTTGTAATGGTTTTCACTTTGAGTGAGATTTCACTAAAATTCACTGAATTTCAGTAGACACTGAAATATTACGTTTCGGTCAAAATATTTCAGCAAATTCAGTAGTACACATGAAATCAAATATTTTTGAAAATTTCAAATATTCAATTAAATTCAAATGAATATTTCGGCCTTTTGGCTGAAATGCAAACTGAAATAAGTGAATTTCACTGAATTTCAGTGATTTCAGTTGGTGCTGAAATTTTGTTGAAACTGAAATTGAAAACCATGTTGTACCCCCATACCAGTGTACCCTCTATCCACACTCAAGATAGAATATAGATATATGCTCATGTTCTTCTCTTCTCGCTGGCTTCGGCAAAAAACGGGTTGAGTAAACAAGAGGATTTGAAAAAGGAGATGGGAGTGAATAATTAATCATTATTTATTGAAGGTAAATTAATGTCAACGCCGCTAGTCACGCTGACTTGTTTCATGTGCTAAGGCCCGGTTCGATAACAAAGTATTTTTTAAGTATCCCTAGAATACTGTAGTTTTTTATTTACCACGGTTATAATTATTGTGAGTTGTTTGATTAGCCAAAAAACTATAGTATTAATACCAAGGTATCTCTATAATACCATGGTATTTTCTCTGTCTAAAGAAAAGAGGGCCCGGCCTCTCTTTTTTAAACTAAGTAGCTGAAAAAGACGAATCCCCGCACGGCGCAAGGTCGCTGTTCTTTCTTACCCGGTTCTGATGGCGCCCGGTTTATTAGGATCTGTCGATCGATGATTTGGCTCTGTGTTAGGACCTTCACCGCGATTTCCCTCAAAAAACAGGATCTTCACTGTGATTTGACTCAACGAAACATCCAGGAGTTAGGCTGGTTACCACATGACACATGTGGTAAGCCATTCAAACAATTCAGAAAAAAAGAGTTAGGCTGGTTCCTAGTCCAGCAAGGACTCCGTTGGTGAACTAGTCAACTACTGTATGCATGCAACAGTGGCTGGCTTTAAAAAACGCGTGTGTTTGCTACAGCTAACGGATAGCCAGCATTTTTTACATCGATGCCCACTATGCTAGTCAAACAGGTCCTCTGTGTAATTGATACTTCAAAATACGTTGATATTTAATAACTGTGGTATCCTATAACCACATGCTAAAATACTGCAGTTTTTTAATACTTTGCTTTTTTACAATGCTTTGCTGCCAAACACAGCCTAATAAAGCATATACACAAGGTCCTGCTTTCTCATGGAGTCAAGTTCACATTTGACCGTGGCAACGAACTGGTCACATCCCGTTTGCTGGTTTCTAGTCCGCGTGTCGTAGGAAAGTTGGACTCGGTGTAGGCTGTGAAATGTGAGGTCATATCTCTCACCTATTTATGGTCATGCTCAAGCTTCATCGTCCCCAACCACCAAGCTCAATCGATGGGTTCTCGCCGTCGTCCCAGTCCTACCACTGCCCTAGTCTTGGTGCTGCTATGGCTCTACTATACGCCGCGCCGGACCTTCTCACTCTCCTTCAACCTCAACTTCTCCGACCCCAGCGCCTTCTCGTCTATCGTCACCGCCGGCGACGCATCCATCAGTGCACCCACGCTCGAGCTCACAAGAAATGCACGCCAATTTCCCGACATTCGGAACAGCGTCGGACGGGCGACGTTCGCGCACAAAGTGCGGCTATGGAGCAGCGCCACTCGCGAGATGGCTAGCTTCACCACCAACTTCTCCTTCCAAATTACTCCTGCTCCTGCTGCATACAACATTCCATTTCCCTACGGTGATGGGATGGCCTTCTTCCTCGGGCATTTCCCTACGGCGATCCCGCAGAACAGCTCCGGCCGCAACCTCGGCCTCCTCACGGACTTCACTACCGGGACAGGCGACGGCCGGATCGTGGCCGTGGAGTTCGACACATACTCCAACCCGATATATAATGATATCAACGGGAACCATGTCGGCATCGACGTCAACTCCCTCTACTCCATGGCGTCCACGGACACTACAACCTCGCCGGGAAAGAACCTCTCGTCGTCCATTGTTATGGAAGCCACGGTGACGTACCACAATGACACCAAGATGCTGGCCGTTGATCTCCTCATCGGCGACGCTTTGTACCGGGTCAACGCAACCGTTGACCTGAGCAGAATTTTGCCGGAGGAGGTAGCTGTTGGCTTCTCCGCGGCGACTGGCTTATCTGCGGCTGGGCTACAGCAGGTGCTGTCATGGTCATTCAGTTCAACTCTACCTGATTTTCCAACCAGCAACAGCTACAAAAAGTTGGTAAAAATCCTACTATCTGTACTAGTTCCTGTACTTTTTTTCTTGGTATGTGCGGTTGTGGCATGGCGGCGACACAAGAAAATAAGAGCAAATAAGCATGGCCAAGAACAGTGTGTCGGCAGAGCTGGCCTCGAGAGAGGTGTAGCTGCCGGCGGCCCCGGGCGGTACACGTACCGCGAGCTGGTTGCCGCAACAAGCAACTTCGCGGAGGAGAAGAAGCTGGGACGAGGCGGCTTCGGGGGCGTTTACGGGGGTCACCTCACACTCAAACACGCTGCCGACCGTCGGGCGGTGGCTGTAAAGATGTTGTCAGCAGAGTCATCGGCGCAGGGGCGGAGGGAGTTTGAGGCAGAGGTGAGGATCATCAGCAGGCTGAAACATCGCAACCTTGTGCAGCTGCTGGGCTGGTGCGACAGCCGCAAGGGGCTCCTCCTCGTCTACGAGCTGGTCACGGAGGGCAGTCTAGACAGGTATCTCTACAACAACAACAGATGCTTGACATGGCCACAAAGGTACAAGATCATCCTCGGCTTGGGATCGGCGTTGCGCTACCTCCATGGAGAGTTTGAGCAGTGCATCGTGCACGGCGACATTAAGCCCAGCAACATCATGCTCGACTCGTCGCTCAGCACCAAGCTCGGGGACTTCGGGTTAGCTCGGCTCGTTGACCACGGCACCGGGTTAATGCAGACCACCAAGGCTGTGCTCGGCACCGCCGGCTACATTGACCCGGAGTTCGTCAACACCCGCCGGCCCAGCACCGACTCTGACGTGTATAGTTTCGGCATCGTCCTACTGGAGATCGTCTCTGGCCGGCTGCCGGTCACCGAAACCGCGGGGAAACCCTTCTCACTGCTCAAATGGGTGTGGAGCCTGTACGGCAGGGATAAAATCCTAGACGCGGTGGACCCGCGGCTAAGGAGTGTCGAGGACAACGAGTGGTGGATGGAGCGGGTGCTCGTCGTTGGGCTCTGGTGCGCACTCCCGGACCGGAGCGAGCGGCCGTCCGTCGGGCAGGCCATGAACGTCCTTGAGTCAGACGAGGCAAGGCTACCGGAGCTACCGCCGTACATGTACAGGTCCGCACGGCCGGATCCTGGGTCGTTCGGCCGGCACGGTAATTTCTCCATCGACAGCCCCGACCCCAGTTTTGTTCGCTCTTCTTCGGGCAACACCGGCGACACCATTCTTTTCCCGGACTCATCGCCGACTGTGTCGGTTTCATGTTCCAGGTTTCCAACGGTATAGCCAATTAGTAATCAAGATTCGTAAGGCCTCATTAATTTTCTCCTTACTACCGTTATATTGATATTGACAGCAGAAATTATTTTGAGAAATATGGAAAAATAGTCGTTATCGAGTTCTATTATGTTACGGTAAACACTATATAATCTGACTACGCTCTCCGTAATTAGTAGGATATGACACACGTCATACGTTACCGAGCGCCCGACAATAAAATACTCAGCAAACAAAGAAAACTCGGCTTATGGGACGTATGCTGAGAGCCGCACCTACGGCACCCGGTCAGCAAAGAGGTGTCATGTGGCACCGCCATTTGCAGTTGATGGCTCCATGTGGACGGGCAACGTTCGTAGAGAACCCAATATCTAGTACTCGGCAAACTATGCACTATTTAAGCCCATCCTCCGCCTTGCATCCAAACCTAGCTGTCGGCCGCCCGCCGCCGATGCTGTCAAACCCTATTCGGCGCCTTAAGCGCCCGAATTAGGTGTTTTCGCAAACGGGCGCATACCCCTCCCTGCGCGATGGGCCGGCCCGTTTATCCATATTATTCTGTTTCAGAACTGCAAAAAACTGCAGCCGGTGAAACTCGAACTCGTGCGCTCTGCCTTTTAGCTTAGCTGCGCTAGCCAACTTCGCAACTACCTTGCCCTGATTTGTGAGATCCTTTTTTTTTATTGTATCTACTTTTCTTTTTCTTTTATTTTTATTTCCCCGTTTCCTTTTTCGTATTCCTTTTTCCAAAATGCATGATTTAAAAAAAAGTGAACTTTTTATTCAAAATCCTCGATGAACGTTTTTTAAAATTCAATGAACTTTTTTCGTGAACTTTCTAATTCGTAAACTCGATGAACTTTTTTTAAAGTTCAATTAACTTTTTTCAACAGTGATGAACTTTTTTCAAATTCGGTGAACTTTTATTCAATGAACATTTTTGAATTTTGATGAACTTTTTTGAATTTCAATGAACGTTTTTTAAAATTCAATGAACTTTTTTCGTGAACTTTCCAATTTGTAAACTCGATGAACTTTTTCTAAAATTCAATTAACTTATTCAACTTTGATGAACTTTTTCCAAATTCGGTGAACTTTTATTCGATGAATGTTTTTGAATTTCGATGAACTTATTTGAATTTCAATGAACGTTTTTGAATTTCAATGAACTTTTTTGAATTTTGGTGAACTTTTTTTCAAATTTGATGAATTTTTTCAAACTTCATGAACTAGTTTTTTCAAATTCGATGAACTATTTTAATTTCGATGACATTTTTTCCTATTCGTTGAACTGTTTTTAAAATTTTCACTTTTCTGAATCAATGAACTTTTTACAAATTTCTGTACCTTTTTGAATTCAAGAACCGGAGGCCGTTTTTTTCCTGAACCAACAAAACAATAAAGGAAAAACACGAGCTGAGTTGATCGAGCGAACGAACAGAAGCTAGAAGGAAACGAAGCGAGGGAGCGATCTTATTATGGGCCGGCCCATGAAGGCGCCTGCGTGGGTGCCGCTTGCTCCAAGTGGCGCTTAAGGCGCTGTCGAGGAGGTCTCGCCGATGCTCGTCCCTGCTGGATTCCGTCGCCACTGCCGAGCCTCCCCATCTGCCTACCGGTACCGGTATGCCCTGATCCGATGTCGCTCGGGCCCATGGGCCGGATGCGCCGCCGCGCGAGGCCACGCGACACCTTCCTCACAGTGCATCTCCCCAATCTCGCCGCCAGCCACCCCTACCACCTCGATGCAGGCATCCCCAACAACCCCAAGGAGAGCTAGGGCGCTCGTTAATTTTTTTTATTTGTAGAGGAATAGGATGCAACTCTCAATGTATTTGATAGGTGCATATGCACAAGTATATATAGTACATAGGGCAAGTCATATCCTTAACTATACACAAGGAGGAGACTTGGAGTACAAGAATACATGTGCTAAATACATATCTCAACACCCCCCCCCCCCGCAGTCGAAGCGACACCGTTGCTGACGCATAGACTGGACCGGAATTCCACGAAAGACGTCGTGGGCAAGCCCTTGGTCATGATGTCGGCAAATTGTTGGGAGGTGGGAACGTGCAGAACACGGACATGGCCAAGAGCCGCCTGATCCCGAACAAAATGGATATCAAGCTCAATGTGCTTGGTGCGATGATGATGAACCGGGTTGGCGGAGAGGTAGACGGCGAAGACGTTGTCGCAGTAGACGACCGTGGCCTTCTCAACAGGACACGAGAGCTCGTGAAGAAGCTGACAAAGCCAGAAGCACTCAGCAACAACATTGGCCACAACGCGGTACTCAGCCTCGGCGCTAGACCGCGAGACGATGGGCTGCCGCTTGGACGACCACGACACCAGGGATGGTCCAAGGAAAATGCAGTAACCCAAAGTAGAACGATGGGTGTACGGGCAACTGGCCCAGTCGGCGTCGGAGTAGGCGACCAGATCAGTGGCAGTGGAAGCGCGCAGAGTAAGACCGAGATCCATAGCACCACGGATGTAGCGGAGAATCCGCTTAACAGCAGTCCAGTGAACATCTCGAGGAGCATGCATATGCAGGAAGACGTGCTGAACCGCGTACTGAAGCTTCGGCCGAGTGAGAGTGAGGTACCGGAGAGCACCAACAATGGACCGGTAGAAGCCAGCATCTGGAGCAGGAGTACCATCAGTAGCAGAGAGCTTGGCCTTCGTGTCGACAGGAGTGGCGGCCGGTTTGCAGTTAAGCATACCAGCACGGTCAAGGATCTCATGAGCGTACTTCCGTTGATGAAGAAAGAAGCCATCAGGACGACGCACCACCTCAACACCGAGGAAGTAGTGCAACGGACCCAAGTCCTTGATGGCAAACTCAGCACGGAGACGATTAGTAAGCCGGCGAAGAAGCTCAGAAGTGCATGTCGTCAGGATGATGTCGTCAACATAGAGCAGCAAGTACGCCGTGTCGGAGCCTTGGTGATAAACAAATAGCGAAGCATCGAAGCGTGTAGAGCGGAAGCCGAGTTGGTGAAGAAACGCTGCGATGCGCTGGTACCAGGCACGAGGAGCCTGCTTGAGCCCATATAATGAGCGTGAGAGCAGACACACATGATCAGGACACGCCGGGTCAACAAACCCCGTGGGCTGCTGACAGAAAACCTGCTCCTCAAGATGACCATGCAGAAAAGCGTTGGAGACATCCATCTGATGAACTGGCCAGGCACGAGAAACCGCTAACTGTAAAACAGTGCGGATCGTTCCGGGCTTAACAACCGGGGCGAAAGTGTCGGTGAAGTCCACACCGGCGCGTTACCGGAAACCACGAACAACACAACGCGCCTTGTAGCGATCCAGAGTGCCGTCGGGACGAACCTTGTGTTTGAAGACCCACTTCCCGGTGATCACGTTAGCGTGCCAGGGACGGGGAACAAGCTACCAAGTCCGGTTCCGCTGCAAAGCGTCGAACTCCTCCTGCATGGCGGCCATCCAGAGATGGTCGCGGAGAGCGGCCCGGACCAAGGACGGCAGCGGGGAAGGATCGGACGTCGAGGCGGTGCAGTCGTAGTCGTCCGCATAGCGGGAACTCGGGCGAAAAACCCCAGTGCGCGCGCGGGTGACGGGCCTGGCCGTCGGAGCAGCCGCGGGTGGCGGTGAGGCCGTGGCATCCACAACGTCCACTGGAGAGGCAGTGGCCTCCGCGTCGTCGGTGAAGCCACCAGACGGGGCTGGCGAGGCGGGCGACCGAGGCGGGGTCGAGGCCGCGGCGTCGGGGAAGCCAGCCGACGGGGCTGGCGAGGCGGGCGACCGAGGCGGGGTCGAGGCCTTGCCCGTAGAGGCCGCACCAGGGGAGGCGGCGCCAGGAGAGGCCGACCGAGCCGGCGGCCCAACATGCGGCCCATCAGCCGGCCCAGCATGCATGGCGGCGACGTAGGCGGCGTCGACGGGGCGCCAGGCGACGAGGGCGTCGAGCCGGAGGAGGGAGCCGCAGAGGGCCCCGATCCGGAGGAGGGAGCCGTGGGCGGGGGTGCCAGAGCACCCAAGGCCGGCAGCTAGTGGCGGCGCGGAGGAGAGCCCGCCGCGGGAGGGGAAGACGGCACCACCTGTTCCTGTGCAAAGGGAAACACAAGCTCATCAAAGTACACGTGTCGTGACGTGATGACACGGTGAGACACAGGGTCGTAGCAGCGATAACCCTTAGTGTTGGCCGGGTAACCAAGGAAGACACATGGAACGGAATGAGGAGCGAGTTTATGAGCGGTGGTGGCGGTGGTGTTGGGGTAGCAACGGCAACCGAAAATACGGAGACCATCGTAGGAAGGAGAACCATATAAGAGATGGTGAGGCGCGTAGTTCCAGCGCGGACGGCATGGCCGGAGATTGAGGAGGAGGGTGGCGGTGGCGAGGGCATCGGGCCAAAACCGAGAAGGCATGTAGGCATGAAAGAGAAGGGTGCGCACACACTCATTGAGGGTGCATAGGATGCGCTCGGCACGGCCATTCTGCTGGGAGGTGTATGGACACGTGAGACGAAACACGGTGCCGTGGATGGAAAGAAGATGGCGGATGGTGAGATTGTCGAATTCTTTCCCGTTGTCAGTCTGAAGTGAGAGTATGGGTCGCCCGAACTGTGTGGAGACATAAGCATAGAATGCAATGAGAGTAGCGGCAACATCGGATTTCCTACGAAGAGGAAATGTCCACACAAAGTGAGAGTAATCATCCAGTATGACGAGATAATAAAGATAATCAGAATTACTGGGTACTGGAGATGTCCATACATCGCTATGAATTAACTCAAACGGAAAAGATACAATTGTGGAAGAGGAACTAAAGGGAAGGCGAACATGTTTGCCTAACCGGCAGGCTTCACATGAGTGAGCGGCCGTTTTATTACATGAAAAAGAAAATCCTCTCATTATTTGACGAAGTGAAGAAGTGTTAGGATGCCCAAGACGAGCATGCCAAAGATCGATGCCGGCGGAAAAGGCGTGAGGACCACCCGGAGATGACGGCGACTGAACTGGGTAGAGGTCGCCGGG